TTCTTGCCAGGAGAATCCCATGGACAGAGGAGCTTGGAGGACTACAGTCCATGGGATCGCAAAGAATTGAACGCAAGTGAGTGACTAACACTTTCTTTCACTTTAAACAGCTCCTATCAAGTAATGAGCCTCTAATTCCTGCAGTTAGAGCTAGAGAATCAATACAAAAGGAAACAAAGTTCTAAAGAGTGTCACAAATGGAAAAATTAGAGATAGATTAACTTTTAAAGTAAATACATGACACAAGAAGAATCCCTATAATTTAAATATCTGTCTTGGCAGAGATATGGATGGTTAAACTTGGGAGAAATCACTATGTGACTTTAATTTCTACTATTATCTGCTGAACAGGAAATTTCAATAGAGTCTTTTAGAATAGCTTACAAGAACTGTTTTATAGATACATTTTCACAAGAAAAGCTTTTTAAAAGTTAAATTTAGCCTATCATGTATATGATGAGAACAATAGAGTCGGTAATTCATTATATTAATATTTCAGCTTATTTAAATACATAATTAATATCTTTCTAGACAACTATACAACATTTCATTCCAGATTTACTTTAGAAAGTGAGTGGCATATTCCTATATCCTGAAATCTATTTTTTATATATAAACTTCCTTTCACAACATATGTTCCAGTTAAAATTTCACACTTATTTAATTTTAATAACTGACTAAATGTGATAGATAACTGAAAGAAGATTTACAAACAGAGGCCTCTCTCTCTTTCTGCCCAAGATAGTGATAGCATCGCTCTTTTAGTTGCTTTAGGGTCTAGTTACTGTAGCTAAAAGTAAATGGCTTTCTTCTGGTTAGAAATTTGATATTTCAGGGAGAAACAAAATATTCATGTGCTTATGCCAGTTAAAGCAGCTTTGTTTCCCATAAGTTATGTAAGACAGGTTATTTTTCATGCTACTATTCTCAAACTAAATTTGCTTATATTTCAACAACAACTCATTTGGAATTTTCTTATGTTACCACGAAGGAATCATTTAGCTGTGTATCACAAGCTAAATGTGCACATTTAAAAAAAAAGGGAGGGGCCTTAGTCTTCCAGTATATCTATTCTCATTGCTTGCATGGCATTTATCCCTATTGTATTCTCAATGCATAAACCACATACACACAAATCTGGGCATAATTTGAAAAGTAAATAATATTTTCTGTTTTTTAACTGGTGTGTTAACCAACCAAACACAATATTCTCTGATTACAGTATTCTAAAAGAGACAGATACAGATGTAATTGTGACTTAGGCAGTGCTCATTCTTTAATGGCTCTTTAACCTCATCTCTGGAACAATTCTTCCTGTTTTCTGTAGCCCCAACCAACAAAGCATTAATTCAGCTAGCCACTCTCACAAGAGCAGTTGAGCATGACAGACTCTGCTGGGTTACTGTTTATCATGTGTTGTATACACCTTCTTTCCCAGTCTCTGAAGGCTCTACTTTTCCTAGCAAATCTAATACTAATCAGCTAACTAGGTTTTATTAGGAGGGTCCCCATGCCATTTTCATATTTATTATAATCTCTGAAAGTAAATATAATTTTAAAACTCTAACTTGCTATGTAAATATAAGTGGCCATTGTCTAAGTCTATTCAGGCTGCTATAATAAAACACAAGAGAATGGGTGATTTATAAACAACAGGAATTTATTTCTCAGAGGTCGGGAGGCTGGAAGTCTGAAATCAGGGCATCAGCACCGACAGGTGAGGGTCCTCTCCTAGCTTACAAGCTTGCTCTTGTATCCTCACATGCCATGAGCTGCAAGAGATCTAAGTGCAGTTTCTTTCATAAGAGAAATAATTCCATTCATGAAGCCTCTGCCCTTATGACCTAATCATGTCCCAAAGACCCCCATCTCCTAATACCATCACCTTGGGGGTTAGCTTTAAACATATAAATTTGTGGGGGACACACGAACATTTGGACTTCCCTGGTGGCTCAGTGGTAAAGAACCCACCTGCCAATGCAAGAGACGTGGATTTGATCCCTGGGTCAGGAAGATCTGCTGGAGAAGGAAACGGCAACCCACTCCTGTATTTTTGCTTGGGAAATCACATGGACAGAGTAGCCTGGTGGGCTACAGTTCTTGGGGTCGCAAATAGGTCAGACATGACTTTGCCACCAAAACAACATAAACATTTAGACCATAATAGCCACCTACATCCAACATCCTGCAATTTCTTCAAATAATCCAGTCTGTTTTATACCTCTTGGCTTTCACATTCAAGAGGCTTCTTATCTCTTTGTCTAGCAGCTGTAAGGGGAATATTTTACCGACAGAGGAGTGGGGAGCTGGCTTTTATATCCTTCAGTGTTAGTCACTCAGTCATGTCAGACTCTGCCCATCAGGCTCCTCTGTCCATGGGATTCTCCAGGCAAGAATACTGGAGTGGGTTGCCATTCCCTTCCCCAGGGGTTCTTTCCAACCCAGGGATCGAACCCAGGTCTTCCACACTGCAGGCAGATTCTTTACTGCCTGAGCCAAGGAAGCTCTCCTTTAACTTATATTCATATTGCTAGTGCTTCTATTATGTCTGCCTAGGGTACAGCTGCCTTGTGCCTCATAAATTTTCCTTTGTATTATATAGTAATAATGTAGCAGAGAAGTCAGCTCTGTACAGAATTGAGCATGTGTTTTCACCTTATCTGTGCATTATTTGAAACCTCATTCAAACTAATAAAGCTTCCTATGATTTTCAGGTGGTTTCCCTACCAAGTAACAGCATTTTCCTTCAAAAGGTGGGTTATGATCATTTTCCTAAAATTTGGTCCTATAGTAGAAAAGCTCTCATGCTTACCCAAGAAATGAAAAGATATTAAATTATAAAGAGGAATTCAGACTAAGTTAGAAAATCTGCCTAAATTGATATTTTGATGCTTGCCACAAATGAGTTTAACACATCAGGTTAAAAAAAAAACGAAAACTTCTCTGAAATAGCAGAGACCCATATGACATAACATTAGTGAAAACTTTTTTGTGACTTCCACATAATCATCTTTATCTCTAATTAAAAAATAAAGCATATGATACAAGGAATCTAAATTTATTTATATCTACGAACACATTTTTCCATCATTCATTTCACTATTTTGAATTTTCTAATGACTATACAGCCAGCAGTCACTATAGAAATAGTACACCTCTTTTAAGCTCGCGCTGTAAAGTGGATAAGGATGATAGTAATCTTAACTAAAACTGCTTCTAATTTAGGGCAGAGGAACTTTAATAAATCTGAAGAGTTTCTCAAACACATACCTGTATTCCAGATGACTGAAAATACACAATCATAAATATTCTATTTTACATAAGAAGGTGCTTTTTTTGTAATCAGGGTAACAATCACTGATAATCTGGATTTTTTTAATGTTTGATTAAATATTCCATTTCTGCCAGTATACCCACTATGAATTACCCTCCTTAATGACACAAATTTATGCATTTGCATTTATGCAGTTGATTTTCATATACTACATTTAACTAGAAAAAAATTGAACAAATATTCTGCACAGGAGAAATAGTCATTAAAGCAACAGGACTCCTTTCTTGGTTTCTGGTAGAACAGGTGAAATTCCTCCCACCTCTTATCAAACAAAATATAGAAAACCCACATTTGTTAAAAATATTTGGTACAGGCAAAGCATTCTAGCTATTGTAATATCATTTGGCACATGGATAATTACCTTTCAAAGGATCAAAATACAATGAGATATATAATACCTATTTGATTACAAATGAATCATTTTATGATGAGGGCCGTTCAAACTGTTGAAATTTCTGTTACCATTTTTTCAGCTTCACTGAGGTATTGAAAAATATAACTTGTATATATTTAAAGCATACAACTTGATGGTTTAATATATATGTACACTGTGACACGATTGCTACAATCAAGTTAATCAGCATATCCATAACCCTATTACCACACTATTACAGTTTTTGTAGTGAGAACACTCATGATCAACTCTTGTAGCAAACTGCAGGTATACCATACAATATTATTAACCATAGTCACAGAGAACTGTCGTAGCTCAGTCAGTAAAGAATCTGCCTGTGACGTAGGAAACCTAGGTTCAATCCCTGAGCTTGGAAAATCCCCTGGAGAAGGAAACAGCAACCCACTCCAGTATTTTTGCCTGGAAAATTCCATGGACAGAGGCGCCTGGTGGGCTACAGTCCATGGGGTCACAAGAGTCAGACATGACTTAGTGACTAAACCACCATAGTCACATTGCTGTTCATTAGATCTCCAGAATGGTTGATCCTACATGACTGAATGTGTATATTCTTTGAACAGCATCTCCCTGTTTCTCCCATTCCTGAGTCCCTGGCAAACATCTTTCTATTTTCTGCTTTTATGAGTTCAAATGTTTCAGATTCTATATATAAATGACATCATGGAGTAATTTGTTTTTCTATGTGTGGCTTATTTCACTTGTCCTCCAGGTTTGTCCATTGATGCTTTCGAATTGTGGTGCTGGCAAAGACTCTTGAGAGTCCCTTGGACAGCCAGGAGATCAAACCAGTCAATCCTAAACAAAATCAAGTCTTTACATTCATTGGAAGTATTGATGCTGAAGTTGAAGCTCCAACATTTTGGCCACCTGATGTGAAGAGAAACCCACTCCAGTATTTTTGCCTGGAAAAGTCCATGGACAGAGGCGCCTGGTGGGCTACAGTCCATGGGGTCACAAATGTCAGACATGACTTAGTGACTAAACCACCATAGTCACATTGCTGTTCATTAGATCTCCAGAATGGTTGATCCTGCATGACTAAATGTGTATACTCTTTGAACAGCATCTCCCCGTTTCTCCCATTCCTGAGTCCCTGGCAAACATCTTTCTATTTTCTGCTTTTATGAGTTCAAATGTTTCAGATTCCATATATAAATGACATCATGGAGTAATTTGTTTTTCTATGTGTGGCTTATTTCACTTGTCCTCCAGGTTTGTCCATTGATGCTTTTGAATTGTGGTACTGGCAAAGACTCTTGAGAGTCCCTTGGACAGGCAGGAGATCAAACCAGTCAACCCTAAACAAAATTAAGTCTTAACATTCATTGGAAGTATTGATGCTGAAGTTGAAGCTCCAATATTTTGGCCACCTGATGTGAAGAGCTGGCTCATTGGAAAAGATCTTGATGCTGGAAAAGATTGAAGGCAAAAGGAGATGGGGAAAGCAGAGGATGGTTAGATAGCATCACCAACTCAATGGACATGAGTCTGAGCAAACTCCAGGAGATAGTGAAAGACAAGAAAGCCTGGCAGGCTTCAGTCCATGGAATCACAAAGTGTCAAACATGACTTAGTGACTGGACAACAATAAAATACATGTAGTCACATTATCTTTATCCATTAACCCACTGATAAACACTTTCGGTTGTTTCTATACATTGAATATTGTACATAATGCTTCAATGAACACAGGGGTGCAGATTTCTTCAAGACACTGATTTTATTTCCTTTGGTTACATACCCAGATATGAGATTGCTAAATCATATGGCAGCTGTATTTTTCATTTTTTGAGGAAAATCTATGCCGTTTTCCGTAATGGTTGTACTAATTTACATTCCCATCAACAGTGTACTGGAGTTCATTTTTCCCCATATCCTTGTCAATATCTCTTTTGCCTTTATGTAATATTCTAACAAGCTTAAGGTAATAGCTCATTGTAGGTTTGATTTCCACTTCTCTGATTATTAGGGATGTTGTGCACCCTTACATTCATATACCTGTTGGCCATTTGAATGTGCTCTTTTGACAAGTATGTATTCAGGCCCTTAGTCCATTTTTTATGCAGGTTTGTTTTTGTTTTTATTGTTTGTTTTTGCTCTTGGGCTAGCTGAATTATTTATATATTTCATATTAAACCACTTACCAATTATATGGTATGCAAATATTTTATCCCATTCTGTAGGTTGCTTCTCCTTGCAATCTCATCAAAAATAAACAAAATTCTCTGTCTGTCTTTGCTTTTGCTCCTGTGATTTTGGCATCATATCCAACAAATTATTGCCCAGATTAATGTCAAGAAGCTTTTCCCCTATGTTTTAGTCTAGTAGTTTTACAGTTTCAGGAATTATGTTTATTTCTTTAATCTGCTTTGAGCTGATTTTTGTAGATAATGGGAGAGAAGTGTCAAATTTCATTCTTCTCCATGGGGATATCCAGTTTTCCCAATATTGGGAAGAGATTAACTTTTCCTTATTATGGGTAATTAGCATTCTTGTCAAAGATCAGTTGACTGCAATTGTGTGGATTTATTTCTGGGCTCTTTATTCTGTTACACTGGCCTATATGTCTTTTTTTGTTTTGCAAGTATACTGTTTTGATATAGCTTTGTAATATAATTTGAAATCAGAAAGTATGATACCTCCAACTTTGTTTTCCTTTCTCAAGATTCTTTTGGGGCTCCCTATGAATACTAGAATTGTTATACTACTTCTGTAAAGAATGTCACTGGGACTTTAATATGCCTTACATTGAACCTATGCACTGAATCTATGCAATCTTCCATTGAATCTTTGCATAATATGGATATTTTATGAATTCTTCCAATCCACAAACAAAAATTGTCTTTCCACTCATCTGTGTCTCTTGATGTGTTTCTTTTACCAAGGTTTTGTAATTTTCAGTGTATAAGTCTTTCGTGTATTATGTCAAGTTACATCTAATATTTTATTCTTTTTGTTGCTATTGTGAATTAAATTGTTTCCTTAATTTCCTTTTCATCCAGTTTGGGTATTTTGTGTTATTTGTGTATAGAAACATGATTGATTTTTGTATGTTGATTTTGTACCCTTCAAGTTTACAGAATTCATTTATTAATTCTAACAGGTTTTGTTACTCAAGTCTTTAGAGTTTTATACATATATAATTATGTCATCTGCAAATAGAGAAAAATTTACTTCTCCCTTTCCAATTTGGATGTTATTTCTCTTTTCTTAACTTATTGCCTTGGCTAGGACTTCTAGTACTATATTGAATAGAAGTGGTAATAGTGAGCATTATTGCCTTGCACCAGTTATTGAAGGGAAAGTTTTCATTTTTTCCTCACTGAATATGATGTTAGGTGTGAGCTTTTCATAAATGGCCTTTGTTGTGAACTTTGGAAGAATGTATTCTGTTGCTTTTGGATGGAATGTTTTGTGTATATTTGTTAAGTTCATACAATCTGATGTTTCTTTAATGATATTCTGTCTAGATGACCTATCCATTGATATAAATTATTACATTTCTATCTCTTACTTTAGTCTGTTAATACATGCTTTATATATTTATGTGCCCCTATGTTGGCTATATAAAAATTTACAAATGTTAGATGCCTGATGTTGGATTGACCCCTTTATGATTATAGAATGCCCTTTTTGGTCTTTTATTATAGTCTTTGTTTTAAAGTCTATTTTGTCTGATATAAGTATAGCTACCCTGTCTTTCTTTTGGTTTACATTTGCATAGAACAGCTTTTTTCATCCTTTCATTTTCAGTCTGTGCATTTCTGAAGTGAGTCTCTCACAGAAGTGTAAAGATGAGTCTTATTTTCTACCCATTAAGCCACTCTATGTCTTTCAATAGAGGAATTTAGTACATTTACACTTAAAATAATTATTGATATGTATTTATTTACAGCTATGTTGTTAATTATTTTCTAGTTGTTTCATAGTTCCTCTCTGTTTCTTTCTTCTCTTTCTCTCCTCCTTTGAAATTTGCTAACTTTGCTTATCAGTATTTTTTAATTCCTTTCTCTTTAACTTTTGTACATCTGCTTTTTGCTTTGTGGTTACCATTAGGCTTACATATAACAACTTATAAGAACTTAAGTTTGATAACATTCTAAGGCTCTATATTTCTGCTCTCTACCTCCACCAGGTTTTATATTTTAGAAGCCACATCTTATCTTTTTATCTTGTATGAAAGTATTAGTCTTTTAGTCGTGTCCAGCTCTCTGTGATCTCATGGACCATAGCCTCTATCCATGGAATTCTCCAGGCAAGAATACTACAGTGGGTAGCCATTCCATTATCCACAGGATCTTCCCAGCCCAGTGACTGAAAGTAGGTCTCCCACATTGCAGGCAGATTCTTCACCACCTGAGCCACCAGGGATGCCTTGTGTATCCCCTAACTAATGACTGCAGTTATAGTCCTTTATCATATGATTCTTCTGCAATTATTCTCTCCTGCTCTGTATCTCATCTTCTAATTCTCATGAGATTGTCTTCTGTAGAGCAGGTTATTTCAATTTTAATGAAACAAAATCTAATAAATTTAATAATTTGTTTTATTGAAATTTAATAAAATAATAACTGTTCAGCTTATCAGTTATTTTTTTCACAGATTATGCTTTTGGTACACTATCTAAAAGTACCCCCATCATCATCATATCCAAAGTCTTCTAGGTTTTCTTCTATGCTATCTTTTAAGAGTTTTATACTTTTATATTTTATATTTATAGGGTTGACCAAACAGTTTGTTCTGGTTTTTCCTTAAGATGTTATGGAAAGACCCAAACAAACTTTTTGGCTAACCCAATAGATCTGTGATCTATTTTTAGTTAATTCTTGTGAAGGTAATTTTGGAATTTTTAAAGTACGAAATGATTTCCAGGATTGGTACCCCAGTTTATAACATTATAGTTATGGAAAATAAGGATTTGGTTTACATGAGCTTGTTTTTTAACCATCGAAGAATCAATTAGTTTTTAAGTTGGAAATAATTTGCTCAAGTGGTTTCTAAATATCTTTCTTTACATTGGTTTCACTAGAGTTACCTGGATGGTTGGACGGATTTGGCTTATTTTTTAACAGGTAATTCTTAGGATCTAATAATCAAGAAGGGACTTTATGGCACATGAACATAATTGACGATTATATGCTACTACTGTACAGTAGATAAAGTGTTTATTTAAGGGAGATGGCTCAGCTGGTAAAGAATTCACTTGCAATATGGGAGATCTGGTTTCAGTCCCTGGGTTGGGAAGATCCCCTGGAAAAGGAAATGGCTACCGATTTCAGCATTGTGGCCTGGAGAATTCCATGGACCATGTAGTCCATGGGGTCACAAAGAGTCGGACATGACTGACTGACTTTCACTTCTCAAGGGCCCGAAGGGCCAAAGAATGTTCAAACTACTGTACAAGTGCACTCATTTCACATGCTAGCAAAGTAATGCTTAAAATCCTTCAAGCTAGGCTTCAGCAGTACCTGAACTGAGAAACTTCAGATGTACAAGCTGGGTTAAGAAAAGGCAGAGGTCCCAGAGTACATTGTCACCCTGCTTATTTAATTTATATGCAGAATACCTCATGCAAAACACTGGGCTGGATGGATCACAAGCTAGAATCAAGATTGCTGGGAGGAATAGCAACAACCTCAGATGATACCACCTAATGGCAGAAAGTGAAGAGGAACCAAAGAGACTCTTGATGAATGTGAAAGAGGAAAGTAAAAAAGCTGGCTTAAAATTCAGTATTCAAACAACTAAGGTCATGGCACCCGGTCCTACCACTTCATGGAAAAAAGAAGGGGGAAAAAGTGGAGACAGTGAAAGATTTTATTTTCTTGGGTTCCAAAATCACTGCAGATGGTGACTACAGCCATAAAATTAAAAGACATTTGCTCCTTGAAAAAGCTGTGACAAACCCAGACAGCATATTAAAAGGCAGAAACTTTGCTGGCAAAGGTTCATATATTCAAAGCTATGTTTTTTCCAGTAGTCTTGTACAGATGTGAGAGTTGGACCATAAAGAAGGCTGAGTGCCAAAGAATTGATGCTTTTGAATTACAGTGCTGAAGAAGACTCTTGAGAGTTCCTTGGACTGCAAGAATATCAAAACCAGTCAATCCTAAAGGAAATCAACCCGAATATTCATTGGAAGGACTGATGCTGAAGCTCCAATCCTTTGGCCACCTGATGCGAAAAGTTGACCCACTGGAGAAGACCCTGAAACTTGGAAAGATTGAGGGCGGGAGGAGAAGAGGACAACAGAGAATTAGATGGTTGGATAGCATCACTGACTCAATGGAGATGATTCTGAGGAAATTACAGGTGATAGTGAAGGACAAAGAATCCTGGCATGCTGGAAAAGAAGTCATAGCAGTCCATGGAGTCACAAACGGTCGGACGTGACTTAGTGACTAAACAACAACAACAACAAAAGCAAAAGGGGAATTTAATACAATTTAAAGAAAGTGGAAACTCATACCTAATTTTACTGTTGTCGCCAAGATTCACCTAAACAATACACCAGTGATCAAATCTGAGCATAGTGCTGACCTTCTAGTGGATGAAAGCTTTAGAAAGGTGCTTTCTCCCTTGACAAGCATCATTTTATGCTAACACTACGATGACTAAGTTTCCATGAGACTGTAGACTCTTTCTGAAAGTGCTACATCATATGTATATTTTAAAATGACACATGATAGTGGCCCTTGAAATATTCAAAAATATTTCAGTTCTGTATTTCTCAAAATTGCATAGTAAATATTACTTAAGTCTAAGCATCAAGAGATTTATCTACAAAGTCCCTATTCCTTAATGCTTAGAGGCCATATTGACATAACCAGTTGGGAAAAAATATATGCCATTGGAAAAAGTAACAACAGGGAATGGAGTGAGGAGTGACTGAGAAATGTATCAAGGATACAGGTTATGTTATCTTCATTGATAAAAACTGTATATAATCTCACATCTTTCCTTATCCATCAGACCCAACTTTAGCTTTCTCCTTGATGAAAGTGAAAGAGGAGTGTGAAAAAGTTGGCTTAAAGCTCAACATTCAGAAAACTAAGATCATGGTATCCGGTCCCATCACTTCGTAGCAAATAGATGGGGAAACAGTGGAAACAGTGGCTGAATTTATTTTTCTGGGCTCCAAAATCACTGCAGATGGTGATTGCAGCCATGAAAGTAAAAGACACTCCTTGGAAGGAAAGTTATGACCAACCTAGACAGCATATTAAAAAGCAGAGACATTACTTTGTCAACAAAGGTCCATCTAGTCAAGGCTATGGTTTTTCCAGTGGTCATGTATGGATGTGAGAGTTGGACTNTCATTTGAAAAGACCCTGATGCTGGAAAAGGTTGAGGGCAGGAGGAGAAGGGGACGACAGAGGATGAGATGGTTGGATGGCATCACCGACAGAGTGGACACAGGTTTGGGTGGACTCCAGGAATTGATGATGGACAGGGAGGCCTGGCGTGCTGCCATTCATGGGGTCACAAAGACTCGGACATGACTGAGCGACTGAACTGAACTGAACTAAGTTTACCTAATTTACAAGCATTGCTTTATTAACATCCAAAATAAGTACTTACAAAGAAATGGTGAATTCCGTTCTCCTTATGTCATAAATCCATGTCCTGTGCAGCATTTTGGGTATAGATTACACATTTTACTTTATAAATGATGAGAGGCAGAGTTTTCAGATTACAGGTTGAGCTTGCAGCAGTGGAGACAGAACAAACCTTGGCCTTTGAAATAAATCTGACCTGCAATTTAGCAAGGAAAAAATAAATTGAAAGTTAACAGTTAAACCTATCCCTGGTTAGCCAAACAAAATCTTTGAAGTTCTAAATAGGAAGATTTGTGTTCAAGTCACATACCTCCTGTCTCCTATGTATCAGTCATGCTACAGCAAAGCATGCCCAATCTGATACTGTTTCTTATTTGTTTAACCTGGCACACACACACACTTCAACACAGCTGATCACCTCTACCAGCACCAGTTTCCCAAAACAATGTTTCTTCTTTCCACTGTCTGTTGATACTAGACACATTTTAAAAATGGTTTTGGATATTGTAATTCATTCTGAAATAGTGATTTTGACCCAGATATTTTCACTTTGTCAGAAAGAGGTAAAACTGTCCTAAGGCAGATAGGTAGGCAAGAAAATGGAAAGAAAGAGTCCTCTTTGCCTAGCCTCAATAACGCTGAATGACCATTGACTTCACTTCCACAGAGTAGGCAAATCTAAGTAGAATATGGAATAAACTTTTCAAGGAATTTTATTAATGATCTTTCTATAAAGGAGAGCTGGGTCCGAATGATCCTTATGTTGATACACTGTCATCACACCTCCTGTCTTATTTTTTCCATGACAATCTATAAAGTTTGGTGAAAAAATTATTTCTTTTTATTTGATAGATGACGTGGCTTAGTAATAAAGAGGAAACAGCCTAGACAAAGGAGTCAAGAGGACTGCTAGATCCTCTTGTTCTCTTAGAGTTAACCTGTGGCAAGTCACTTTTCTGAGTCTCAGGTTCCTCTTCTGTAAAATGAAAAATTTAAATATCTCATCATTATAAGAATAAAATGGAAAAATGTACATGAATGGACTTTGCAAAAATAAGGTTCTACTCAAAAAGCATGTTATGCTGTTTATGCCTGCAAGGGATTTAAATTTGCTTTACTCATTTACTCCCTCTCAATCAGTCCTCCTTGAGAAAAACTTGTAACAATCTTTCCAAAATAGAAGACCAGAGTTAGGGGCAAGATTTAAATAAATCTAGTCCCCAAAAGGAATTGGAACTATAAATTTGGCCTAGTGAAACCACACAAGGAAGCAAGTAGTCTGACTTTGACCACGTTTAAAGGAGATCAGTCCTGGGTGTTCACTGGAAGGACTGATGTGGAAGCTGAAACTCAAATACTCTGGCCACCTCATGCGAAGAGTTGACTCATTGGAAAAGACCCTGATGCTGGGAGGGGTTGAGGGCAGGAAGAGAAGGGGACAACAGAGGATGAGATGGTTGGATGGCATCACCGACACAATGGACATGGGTTTGGGTGGACTCTGGGAGTTGGTGATGGACAGGGAGGCCTGGCGTGCTNCCGAAGAATTGATGCTTTTGAACTGTGGTGTTGGAGAAGACTTTTGAGAGTCCCTTGGACAGCAAGGAGATCCAACCAGTCCATCCTAAAAGAGATGAGTCCTGAGTGTTCATTGGAAGGACTGTTGTTGAAGGTGAAACTCCAATACTTTGGCCACCTGATGTGAAGAGCTGACTCATTTGAAAAGACCCCAATGCTGGGAAAGATTGAAGGCAGGAGAAGGGGACAGCAGATGATGAAATGGTTGGATGGCATCACTGACTCAATGGACATGAGTTTGGGTAAATTACTGGAGTTGGTGATGGACAGGAAGGCCTAGCGTGCTGCAGTCCATGGGTGACAAAGAGTTGGCCACAACTGAGTGACTAAACTGAACTGAACTGATATGAAGAACTGACTCACTGGAAAAGATCCTGATGCTGGGAAAGACTGAAGGCAGGAGGAGAAGGGGATGAGACAGGATGAGATGATTGGATGGTATCACTGACTTGATGGTATTAAGTTCGAGTAAGCTCCAGGAGTTGGTGATGATGGACAGGGAAACCTGGCATGCTACAGTCCATGTGGTCGCAACGAACCAGACATAACTGAGCAATTGAACTCAACTGAACTTAGATGTGAACAGCTGCTTCACAGCTGGGAACTTCCAGAATGCCAGGTGCAAAAATGAGTCACGTTTTCTGAAATTAGTTCTGGTGATTCTGTATTGAAAAACACATTACTCCATAGAGAACTATTCAAAGGCTATACTTTGAAAATACAGGACTGAACATATATATTATTGTAAAAACTGTTAAAATCTTAATTGTAAGCATATGCTAGTGTATTAGAATTCTTTGTATTACATCAGAAAGTTGAAATTACATCTCTAGATATATAACTGGATCCCTAGTTTACTATTTTTGTACAGGTTAACAATAATGTCTGTAGAGATTAATTACTTGATAACACTGAACAAAAATAAAATCAGGCTGGGTTTATTTTAAAATATCTCTGCCTGGCACCAGCAGGACTTGGTAAAATTATGAGCTTGATTTTCTGCTCCACTGGTGAAACGTGACATAAAACTATCAAAGATCACCTGTTGTAGCACCATATATATTTAAGTATGGAGTTTCAAATTACAGTTTCAAAAGAAAGGCTGCATTTTATCCTGCACTTAATGAAAAGATCAGTTTTCAGTGGGATTCTGCTTGCCTACTCTTCCAGCACTAGAGCTACTTTTTAGCTGGCCTCCGGAAACTCTGGATAAGGTCACTGATTTCCACTGAATTCTAAGTGGTTTTGTTTACCGAAATAGCTTCTCTTAGAGGTTTGTCATGAAGTTCGGTACTAAGAATATCGACCACTCTGGACTGTCTCCACAGCTAACGGATCCTCCTACAGGCAAGAACTTATTTTTGTGCTTCTGTGATCACACAGGCCAAGACGCCCTTCCGCAGCATAATTCTAAGCCCTCATTAGGTTCTCAGTCATCGAGGGCCCCAGGTCTGAAAGTGTTAGTCGCTTAACCGAGTCCGACTCTTTGGGACTCCATGGACCCTCTGTCCATTGGATTCTCCAGGCAAGAATACTGGAGTGGGTGGCCATTTCCTTCTCCTGGGGATCTTCCCGAACCAGGGATCGAACTGGGGTCTCCCGCATTGCACTCAGATTCTTTACTCTCTAAGCCGTTATTTTCCAGGCTCTTGGTTCTGAAGCCGCTCAGCGATTTCGGAGTTACCTAGGCATAAGCCTACCTCCAAGAGAAAAGGCTACCGATCAGTGAAGAAAAGGAAAAAAAAAAAAAGCTTAAGATATTGGAAGTCCAGCTTCGTCACAATACTGTAGTTTTTTCCTCATCTTAAAGTATTTACTCACATCTCCCTGGAGAGTGTTTTAAAATAACTTCTGAGTGAGATAAACTTCAACCTTAACTAATTAGTGGCTGCTTTCTAGAAACAATTTACAAGGTGTACCTGCAGAATTCTCGTCTTTTTACTAAACCCACAGCTCTTAACATCTATTTCAAGAGTGACCCGTAACCTTCAGCCAGCAGCCCCGCCCACTTATAAATCCGCTTAGAGCGCCACCTCCTCCTTTGACGTTCAGCCTATCATGTATTCACTAATGGCTCAGTGTAGCTATCGCGAGACTCCAATGGTATCCTTCGAGAGTCTCTAACCGTGTGGACTTGCGCAGAAGAGACTCATGAAGCTAGGGTCGGAGAAAGGGGGCGGGGCGTCCCGACGTGCGCGTTCACCTTGACCCCACGCTCCAGCGCGCGCCCGGCATCTAGGCGCTGTGGTTTCTGGGCCCCCTGGGAACCCCAACACAAACCAGCATAAAGCGCGCGTGCCCACCTCTGGCCGATGTTCGGTGGATAGCGAATGCGTGCCCGGGACCTGCAGGGGCATCAGAGGGCCCTGGGCCTTGGTGCAGAGAGGCTCTAGGGGCTTGGAGAAACAGTCTAGGTAGGCGCTTGGGTGATAGAGGGTCAGGGGTCAGAGGTCGGGGCGGAAGGCGTTTCTGGACGCAGACAGAGGTCTCAGGGAGGGACGACTCCGTTGTTTTGGAGCCTGGGAAACTAAAAGACTGACGGGGAGCCGCAGCGCGAGTTTCCGCGACCCTTCCCCATCCCAGACGTGCGGGCCGGGGGACCGCCGCGGCTTGCCCGGGACGAAGAGGAACCGCGGGAGGGAGGCTTGCTTTTTCCCCCGCGGACTGGGGCCTACGGTGTCTTGTTCGAGCGTCCTAGGGCCCTTGATCTCGCTCCTCTGCCTCCGGGCAGCTTGTTTGCCCGGCCTGCTGGGAGCGATCGGCGCCGACAGCCTTGCTCAGGCTCCTCAAACCGCTTTTGAGTCTTTGCGAAGAGAACTGAGTGGGTATCACCATCCTCCGCAGATAAGCTCCTGGAGACTGGAACTGGGCAGCTGCCTAGCTTATTGGTGTGCGGGATTGTAAATGTAGTAAAGGGGAGGCCGGGGCCTCTGAGTTAAAGTTCTCAGGTACCTCAGGAATCAGGTTAATTACATTCGCATTCAAAACCAGCCTTGCATTTTGTGCCTTTTGACTCCGTGATAGTTTCTACTTTTCAGAACCAGGATATGTTTTCTGATGGTTGACGGTCACTGTCAGATGAACAGGATTAGTAAATAGTGACTTTGTGCCTTTTTTCTAAGGGACTTGATCTTAGCCATGAAGTAAAAACCCTAGATGTTTGGCGTTTTCCTTTTTCTGCCTGCAATGTGGAAGACCTGGATTCGATCCCTGGGTTGGGAAGATCCCCTGGAGAAAGGAACGGCTACCCACTCCAGTATTCTGGCTTGAAGGATTCCATGGACTGTATATAGTCCATGCGGTCTCAAACAGTCGGACACGACTGAACGAGTTTCACTACTTCTGTTTGAATTAACTTGTGACTTTAATAAACAAAAAATACTTTTAGAGTTATTGCAGCTATTTTCAATTATTCTGTTGGGTGATAGCAAGAATGATGAAACTTCCATGAATCGAAATGATCCATGATACCTGTACCATCACCAGAAGGGCTCGTTGGTTTATGATGAGAAATCATGCTGGAAGCAAGATAGTAGTGAGCAGTAGTGGGATAAATGTTCTGTATTGCAAAACATGGCACTTCCAGAGTTTACAAAATCCACTTAGCCAATAAGCTGGCAGTTGAGAATAAAATGATTTTGAAGGATGCTCTCTCTCTCTCTCTCTCTATATATATATATATATATATATGTATATCCTCCTCTTGTCCGGCCTAAAGAACTGTACTTACAGGATTATTAAATCTGTTATTAAGAGTTCAGGCTAGAAAGATTTGGGGTAATAGAATCTGCTGGTGAAAAGTCAAGGCCTTTTATAAGTATCTGTGACTGGTTTTGGAGTTCTGCAGAGGAAAGTACTCTCAACCTGCTGGGGTTATCACTAAGAAAAAAGTTGTGGTAATGCTAGGTCATTGAGAACTTCTCAGTCATCAGTAATGATTGAATTTCACTTGCATAAGGCTTACCTTGCAGCAGGATATCTCAAATGTATATACTCTCCGTTTTCCTGGATAGCCTAAATCAGGACCTACCATGGGTTTGTTCTGTATCATTCAGTATTGGCAATTATCTTTTAATGAAGAGATAGTAATTTGGAGGGGGAAAAACCTGAATAAGTTTAATTGATATCCATGTATTGTCTTAATAGCATTTTATATATTTTTTCTAGCAGTCTATCTTTGTTTTCTGTTAAAGACACAATCAGTTTTCTGTTTCACTCTGGGCCAGAAATTGTAAGGAGTAGTTTCACACTACCTGTAGTCTTTTTGAACGTGGTTGAGTGAGATTGGTCCAAAAAGAAATTTGAGTAAAAGTACTTCTGGGTCCTTGAGAAGAGAGAATATTCACAGAGTTAGAGATCTTTGTTTCATATTACCTTGTATATCATTTCCATCCTGGCCCTGACCTGGCATTGGGAGTACAGTGCTGAATAGGATTCTGTTCCTGCCTGGCTTTCAAGTAGTTCAAAGTCAAACAGCTGAGAACACTGTAACAGTTGGAATCAAGAAGGAGAGGCCTTTAATTCAGCATACCTGGTCATGGAACGTTTTGTGGGAGATCAGGATATCGATAGGCGGCAAAGCATGAAAGGACATTTCAAGCAAAAGGCATTTAGAGGAATGAGAGTCAAAATGTGGTCCATGTAGGAAACTGTGATATATAATCATGTTACACCCAAACACTGGTATTTAAGTGGGGGAAGAAGGGAAGAAGATTCATCTGGTATGAGGAAAGTAAGGAGAAGGATTTAGAATTGGAATATGATTAGAGATGTATGGAGTTTTACTAGGACCTATTAACTCCCAGTTAACATTATGGTTTTGAGTAGCTTTGATCAAATAATTTAGTCTTCTTTGGTTCAAGAATTATCCCTAGATAAAAATCTCCTTTAAACAAAAAAGAGTTAACCAAAACAGGGTGGTGGGGCAGAGGGAAGGCAGATCATGAATGTTTGCTCAGTAGAGAATGAAATGAGAGCCTGCTCGAAACACTGCTATTTATTTTTCTTGAACTTATCATTGTAATTGATAAATACTTTGATAATACTGTGACATTGGAAGAATCAAGTTGAAAGCAAACATCTGAGTGAATGTGCAGATTATAGTGGTATATATAGTTTAGAAGATACTGCATGAGGATGAGTGTTACCAGAGAAAAGAACAAAGAGTGAAGGGGAAGTGTTCTGGTTCAGTAATATGTCTATTACAAGACTGTTATAATAGAAAGGGCACGTATTAACCTCTGTTCACAATTGATGGCTTCAGACTGGTCATGGGACTACTATTGATGCCCCACCAGTTGAGCAGACATTTCCCATCCATGCTGTACTTTGCCAGGAAAGAAATGGATTTCTATAGGCAGCTAGCTATCCATAACAAGGTTTCTCAAACTTGGCTGCCTGCTAGAATCACCAAGTGAGAGTGAAAGTGTTAGTTGCTCAGTTGTGTCCAAATCTTTGTGACCCCATCGACTGTAGCCTGCCAGGCTCCTCTGTCCGTGGAATTCTCCAGGCAAGACTACTGGAGTGGGTTGCCATCCCCTTCTCCAGGGGATCTTCCCAGCTCAGGGATTGAACCCAGGTCTCCTGCATTGCAGATAGGCTCTACTGTCTGAGCCACCAGGGGAGAATCACCAAGGGAACCTAAAAAACAATGGAGGTGGTGCCTGGGCCCTGCCCCAGAGATGATAGTTTAATTGGCTGGGCTAGTACCAGGGCATCAGGATTTTGAAAATTTCCCCCAGATGGTTCTAGCGTTCAGTCAAGTTTGAAACACTGATCTGTAGTTCCCATCCTGCCCCTTTAAAGTTTGGTTATTGTAAAGTGTAGTTTATACTGTTCTCAGGGTGATGATAATAGCAACTACTGCTTACTGAATATATGCTAAATTTCAGTTGCTGCGCTGTTGTACATACACACAGAAGCTAGATAACTTCTAAGTGCCAAAGCTAGAATTAGAGTTTAGGACCCTAAAACTCACCTTCTCTCATATAAGCCACATTGCTTTGCCAGATGTGAGATTCTGTAGCCAATTGCTTTGGGGGCCATTCGAGTTAATGATTCCATCATCACCATGTTACTAATATTATGGTGGTTAGTGAGATAGATTGTGTAACTGGCCCAGTTCCCTCCCCATATGTCCCCACCATTTGACTTTGAGTCCATCTGTGAGACCTTGCTTTGCCCATGGAACCTTAATGTTTTTACCCTAACCAAAAGCCCAAAAGTACTTGTGTGATTGGATTTGCAGTCATTCCTCAGTCACTGTCATAACATTCTTATTTTTTTTTGCTGGTGCAAGGAGAAAGATGACTATACTTAGGAGAGCCAAGCGGCTTTTCCTGAAACCTAGCCTATATCATCAGCCAATTCTAAACTAATCTGCAGATCAGTGAGAATAAATGATTGCTGTCTCCAGGCAGAGCTTTGGGTGGTATGTTATACGGCATATTTATGATGGTGGCTAACTGATAAACTGGTGTAGAAGACTGACTTGATTCCAGTATTCCAACCTGTGCTCTGAGGAGAACTGGACACAGACAAGCACTTAGGATATTAGGGACTTTCTGTATTATTCTGGTCTCTTATTCAAAGTAATAGAGGAGACAAGATACTTGAAAAGTAGTTAACTATAGTCAGAGGTTGATTGTAGACTGTCACCTCCTTATTCATAAACCAAGCACTGATTAAGGGAATGGAATTCTCGTGATTGACTTAGAACAGCAGTTTTTGATAGACATTTTGCAATTAGGAAAATGTTCAATTATTGTCAGTCCAATACCGTAGCTTCTGGTCACATACAGCTTTTGAGCACTTGAACTATGGCTCGGGAGAATGAAGAGCTGAGTTTAAATCTTTTTGTTTTTAACTTAAATACTACCTCTTAAAGTTAGACGCAGCTGTCGGCATCCTTATGGGACTACACAAACAACTTCTTTGCGGCTGCCGAGGAAGTCACTCTCCTTTTAAGTCACAAAGCTGACATGTTTCTCAGTAAGAGGAAGTTCTGTCAACAAGGAAATGAGGTAGATCTTAGGTAGATAAATAT